AGTTATATATGTATATAAGTATATATCTATGTATGTTTGTATATATATAGATATATATATATATATACCGCAGTGTATCTTGGTCTCAATACGAGCTCGATAATCAGCCTCAATGGCCCGAAAACGAAACATTAGACTTTCAAATTCTCACTGTTCTTGACAAATTCTGCCAACGCTTCGGCAAGGGGCCCAAGACTTTCTATGTCCAAGCCTTCTTTGCTCTCTGCTTTTGTACCTCTCTGTGGGTCTCCTGTTACAGCCACCAAATTCTCCTGGCAAAGACCAGACCTCCTCCCAAAGCTGACCAGCACCTCAGCTCCCACTCCTTTCAACTTCGATGGAGCACATTCCCTGTGGGTGCCGCCTCAGCCGGACCCTCCATGGGCATCACCCTCCGTGGGCATCACCCACTGGTGCCTTTACAGCCTGCTCCACCTTGCTTTCTTCATCACCCCTGGCTAGTCATACCCACTCCCATATAGTCTTTATCCCCTGAGGGAAATGCAGGGCCCTAGCAGCATCCTCCAGGTTCCTTTTTCTATGGCTGATCTCTCTCAGGCAGAAAAACATCTTGGTTCTTTCCCTAGTGACCTATTAGGGGGTGTGGCCTTGTTGGAGATAGTGTGCCGCTGTTGGGGTGGACTTTGGGGCTTCCTATACCCAGGATACCACCCACTGTGGCTGTCATTGGACTTCAGCGCTCTCAGCGCCAACAGCACGGCTTACCTGCACGTTGTGCTCCCCGCCATGATAGTAATGGATGGAACCTCGGAAACTGTAAGCCAGGACCTCAATCAAATGTCATGGTGTTCTCTTCACAGTAGTAAGAGCCCAAACTAAGACAGGGCCATGCGGATGATGTCCGCGGAATGGACCATACCTATCTGTGGTCGCTGCAGCGGTTACCCAGGTGGACCCCCACTGGGATTATCAGGTTAATGATGAATATCGGGCAACCAGTAGGGAGACCCAGAATAAAAAGAGTTCTTGCCTCATGGCCAGTCTACACAAGGTCTCCCAAAAGGTGGTAAATTTTGACAAACTTAGGAGGATCACACAGAGGCCGGATAAAATCCTGCTGAGTTCCTTGCCTGGCTCACCAGGACTCTTCTTCGGTACAGCAAACTGGGCCCTGACGCTCAGGAGGGCAAGCTTCTCCTCAGCCTTGTTTACTTTCCCAAGCAGTCCCTGCTGTTAGGAGAAAGCTTAGAGTCTAGATGATGGCCTCAAATCCCTCCGAGAGACCCGCCAACTGTGGCGTTTACAGTTGCTTAATGGAAAGGAAGAGCCAGAAAGGATGGGATGGACTTCTCATAACAGACAGAAATACCAGTTTTTGACAGTGGTCCTGAGGACTCCTTCAAAAAAGATAGGGCACCAACAGACTCCTCAAATGTGGAGCCTCCAACTGGTGTGGGAGAATTGTCTGTATTCTGTCAATTATGTTTTAAATAAATGCTGATTGGCCA